ATTGTGACAGCAGCTTGGTGGCAGTTTAGCCAATGCCTAGTGATTTCCAGTGACCCCAAACACACTCGCTTACCAGGGAGCCCACCCAACCCATTATCAACTGTGTCATCTGCAAGAAGACTTCTTAGATCATGTTAAATCTCCCTCTCCTAACTCCCAGCTATGGGTCCTTGTACCCCTGGCTTTACCGGGGGTGAGACTAAGCTCTCTCCCACCAACACTGGAAGGCTGCTATCATGTATCTCGAGTTTGGTTTGGTTTTTTTTTTTCAAGCTCAACACCTCCCAGTTTCTTCAACTTATTCTCCCAGGACACGGCTGAGATGCTTCACCCTACAAGCCCCTTTGTATGTGTGCTCGTTCCCGCACTCCATCCCTCAGTCTGGAGACACGCAGCATCTTCCAGCCGCAGGGAGCACTAAGGTCCGAGCTGACAGACTGGTCTGTGCTTTCCACAACTGCCCAGAGCCCACCCCTCAGGGCAGCGCAGCGGCAAGGCCTGCCCTGCCTTCGCATACCACCGCTCTGAGGCTGCCCTGGCGGCTGTGTGGTCCCACAGAGGGCGAGCTCCGGGCACAAGGATGAGGAGCCTCCCTGGGAGAGCATGCTGGCTCACCGCACCCCAGCTGGGCCAGCCGCACACGCGCACCACCTCTCGCTCCCACCAAGAGCTTCTCACTGCAGCCCACCTCTCTCCCACCCAGCGCTTCCTCTGCAGGGCGCCCGTAACCCCTCAGCATGGGGACAGATGGAGGAGGGTGACAGTGGCTGCTAGCCATGCCAGGCCTGGCCTGAGCCCCGCCAACCCTGACCCGAGGGGTTCGCGGGCTGCCTGGGGTCAGTGGTTCCCTTCGTTATCTAATGGCGTTGAAACTCCTTAGCCTGACATTTGAGGCCAGTGATAATCTGGTCTAAACTTACTGGCCAGTTCCATTTGCCACAATTCCTACATGCCTACCTTATCCTCGAAATGCTCCAAATTCCTCAAGCACCTCAGCACCACTATCTACCTTACTACTCATTGGCCCTTAAAATCCTACTTTTCCCTTAAGGGGCCCAGGTTGCGCTTTGCGTCGAGCAGGCACTTGGCAGATGTCTACAGAATCACTAAAGAATAAACGTGCTATCTCCAAGTCTACCACCCACTTGACGCCTGCCCAGTGTCTGAGCAGCCAAGATATGACGTGTGTCTTCATGTGACTGGCCCTGGTTGGTCCATTTCCCCTCAGCCCGGAAAGGCAGGACTACGCAACATATGCCCCCGCCCCCACCACCCCGACTCATGCATCCAGGCTGATGCCAGGCATCAGGAACACTGCAGGGCCACCTCCTGCTTCATGTGGAAGTGCAACGGGCGGTTCCCTGCCAAGGAAAACTCCGGAGTCTGGGTGACGTGTAGGACACTGAACAGGAGAAGAGCAAATTGGAGCATGGGGGGTGAGGGACATGGAGCCCCACCTAGGCCTCCGCGATGCTATTCTGGTTCTGCCCTGGGGACTCACAGGCTCGGAGCCCAGGGCCCTGGCACCCAAAACCCCAGTTACCTCATTCTCCTCCTCATTGTGCAGATGTTCGGTGTACGCATCCGGCTTTCGAATGAGAGGGTCCACCAGCATCAGGAAGGCCATGTAGAGCAAGAGGGCCCCCACCACTGACAGGTAGATGACAATGATGACCTGAGGGAGAGAGCCAGCCGGCCCTGTGAACCAACACTCTGGTCCAGGACAGCCATGCGCGTGCGGCGGCGACAGGGGCTGCCTCGAGCGCCACACTGGGGAAGGGCCCAGAGGCTGTGGGCTTGCAGGCAAAGACAGAAGGGACAGGGGGCCCTATTCCACATATTTGCCAGCTCTGCCCTAAACTGAGGGGATCCCACAAGAATAGCGGACATAAAAACAACAGATTATGAAGGAAAGCACCTGGATCCTGACACCCCAAGATGCTCCCAGGGGTGCAGAGTGCGGAAGCGGGGCCTACCTGGCTCTCCCCAAGAAAGGGTGGAAAGCAACGGGACACAAAGTAAGAGCAGGGAAGAACCGGCTGGTGGAGAGGCCTGAGGCTGAGCCCCAGGGCACGAGGGCTCCCTCCCCACTGCCAAGTGCGGGCGGACAGGTGGGAAGGTCCAGTCCCAAGAGGGCACGCCAACGGGCGGAGGGAGACAGGCTGGCAAGAAGGTGTGCCCTGGAGGCCACATCTCCCCCTCCCGTCAGTCACCCTGCATGGTGGTGACAGCCAGTGACAGAATGACAAATCTCTTCCGTACACGGAGAGGCTCACAAGCTGCAGTAACTTCCGTTTTACAGAAAAGACAGATTCAGTGAGGCTAACTCAGTGCCTCCCAGTGTGGTGCTCTGGACTCTCCACGCCCCCCAGTAGTCACAGCGGCGTCACTAATACACCTCTGTTACCGGGACCACAGAAGCACCTTCACTGGTGTCCAAATGCCTGCTGGGCAGCCAGCACTCACCTGACTGAGAACCATGAACCAAGGTCCCAAGGTTAGCAAATGGTAGAGGTTTTTAACCTGAACACAGATTTACTGACCCCGGCTCACATGCTTTTTCTACTTCCACAACACCTGGCCATCACTGGCTTCTGATCCCAGCCTTGGCCCCAAATGGACTTGGCCCCAAATGGCACCCAAATGATGAGTGATAAAAGAGAGAAACCTTGGGACGTTCAGGTCAAAGTCCAGCTCAGTCAAAGGTCAAGTTCAACTGGACCAACTTCCTCCCTGACTGGGGCACCAGTGTTCACGCCTCTTTAAACAGGGCCAATGGTCAGACCTCTTGCCTGTACCCCGGGAAGGGCAAGGGGAATGGAGATTGAGTCTCTAGTAGGCTGACACTGGGGGGTGGGGGGAGCCTCCTAGGGAGGAGGACTGGAGGGAAACTTGAGGGATTAGGAAGTGTGTCTGATGAGCGCCCCGTGTCGGGAAGTCCCTTTCTGCCAAATAGGGAGAGGCGACACCTGGCTCAGCACTGGGTCTCAGCCATCTGGTCCCCAGAGGGTGGGGGCCCTGGAGCATGTTCAGGGCAGGAGAAAGACGCTCCAGGAGGGGCTGGCTCAGGCGGGAGGATAAAAGGAGTTGAGTCTGCACAGCCTGATGGGGCGAGGACTGAGAGGTGGCGGACAGACAGCTGCTTCCCATCAGAAAGGTGAGAACACGGGAGGACAGCAGGACTGGGAAGGAGCTGCCAGCTCCCTGGTCTGGGCAAGACAGCAGGGAACATCACCTCCCTTCCTGAGCCTCAGAAGGAGAAACGGGATGGACTAGGCAGTGCCGTTAAACTCCTCAATTCCTTTCTCGATGCTATTTCTAGACTCTCCAGAGGACCAGCAGAAGTAAGCTGAAAATCTGGCCAGGAAGAGCTTAAGTCAGAAATCGGGACGCAGGGCCTGGCTCAGGAGTCAGAATCCGGACTAGGAGACCCCGGGGGAGGCTCCGGGTAGATGAGCCTCTGCTAGCGTGAGCCGTGGTCCTATGGAGCCTGCCTAGTGGCAGAGGAAAGGCCAAGGCCCCTGCCTTCACTTGCTACGGTGGTGGCCGTGTCTCCTGCTTCTCTCCCAAACTCACCCAACAGTCTTTGAGAACGAGGTTCGGGGCCAAAGCCCCTCCTGCCCAGATGCCACCACGCAGACACCCAGTCCTGATGCACAGCTCTCAGGGGGCCTTTCAGGAGTCTGAGGCCACTCTGGAAGCTCAGTCAGACTGGGTGTTCTGGGAGGGCGGCCTTACTGTCCTATTAGCAGCACCCTGCATGTTACCCAGCACATAAAAGGCACCTGAAAGAGGCTTACTGAACGAATGGAAGAAAGAAGAAGGGGGAAATCGGAAAGAACAGGAGGAAAAAAGTGACATGAAGCACCTCGCCCAGGTTCCCTGCCCCCCATGTAATGGGAGCCACTGGACAGATGTCAGAAGACAGAGCTGGCTCCAAGAAGGTGTGGGAAGCAGGCCCCTGTGTCTGTGACCAGGCCAGCCCAGAAGCCAGTCCCACAGCCACTTGGAATGTTCCAGAATACAGCAAAAGATCATGGGTGCCGGGCAGCCAGGGAGCAGGGTGGGCCCGAGCCCCGAGCCCCAGGCTACCTTGATGGTGGTGGTGCTGCGCTCCTCGTACTTGCACTCACACAGCAGGCAGTAGGCCTCCACGTCGTGGCCGGGTACCGGCATGGGCTCCACCACGTGCAGGCAGTTGCTGGAAAGAGACAGACGGGGCGGTGGGAGCAGGGCCCCCGGCAGCAGGCAGCCCGGGAGGGGAGGGCGGGGCAGAGGAGAAGGGGCTCCCAGGGAGTGGGGAGAACAGCCTTCCCAACCCACCAGCACCTGTCCCCGGCCCACCCGAACCAGCTCTCTAAGGTGCACCTTTGATGCTGGCACCAAAAATGCCAACATTTCCCAAACTGCTGCCCTCAACTGCCTTCTTATCTCATGCCGTGCACCCCTCCCCGCCGCCCCGACTCCCATGGGCTCGTTCAGTCCAGAGATTTCCAAGTCAGAGCTGGGGAGGCCCAGACTGGAGTCTTAGACCATAATCCCTAGTCAGGACCGCCCCCCGGCACCCTTCCGTCCAGCTGCCCGCTAGTCACCACAGGAGCGGCCCACAGGGACGCTCCAAGGCCACCCTCCCGTGTCCCTCTGCCCCAGCTCCCTGGGCTGTATCCCCAACGGCACAGAGCACCCCTACCATCCACTCTGCTGACCAGGTCCAAACCTGGCAATCACCTTTGACACCATCTTTTCCTCTCACCTATGAATCTATCAAATGCCAGTGATGTTTACCTCCTTAAAAACTTCTAAGACCCACCTTCTCTACTGGCTCCCGCTGCCCTGTCTCAGCTCAAGGTCTCATCACTGTGTCCTCGGACCAGTGGCCCGGGCTCCCCATTGCCCTCGCGCCTCTCATCTAGCCCTGTGCCTCTACCACCTTCTCCACCCGGGAGCTCAGTGGTGTTAGCAAAATGAAACTCCTGTCACATCACCTACCCCCGCTGAAAGCCTAAAGCTGGTCAAGGCCTCCCACAGGGCCTCTAGGGTGAGGCCAAATGAGCTGCTCCCCCTGGGGCACCCACGGCTCCACCTCACTCCAGGCTGCCTCCCTGTCCAGTCCCATCCCCTGCCACGCCTCACCCCACTCCCCATCCTCCAGCTCTGCTGATCTTTAGACTCTTCTCTGAATGAGCCGTGCTCCCCTCCTTGACACATCTCCTGCCTTCTGCCAGGAATACATGGTTTTGCCACCTCCCCTTCCCACGCGTGGAATCCTACACATCCTTCAAGATCTGACATCTCCCCACAGCAGCCAGCTAATCCTACACATCCTTCAAGATCCAGCCCAAAGATCTGACATCTCCCCACGGCAGCCAGCTCCCCACACTCATCTCTATCACAGCACTGACCACACTGTGCTGCATTCCCACTTTTACTTGTACGGTCTCCCCCTGGGGACGCTAAGTTCGTCGAGGACAGAGGCCATCTCCAGCTTCCCAGCACCCAGCGCAGGGCTGGCAGTGCAGGGCTCGGGGAACAAGCTCAGGGAACAAGCTGCTGCCAAATGAGTCCCGTTCTAATGGCGCGCCCGCTTAGCCCGCCTTTACCTAACAGTGCTCTCGACCCAGGAGAGCTAAAGATCACAGGCCCCACATTTAAAAAGACGGAAGTAAGCTCTGGAAGGCAAAGTGGCATCGCCACCACAATGAGGTCAGGACCCAAATCCCAATCCTCGGCTCGTCTTTCCATGTGACACTCTGTCTCAGTGGGGCCCGTGCCTGTGCTCAGCTCTTTACTTGGGCCTCTTGATGGGGCTCAGCCTTCTTCAGATCAGGTTTCTACAGGTACAGTTCACACATAAGCAAGTGCCCTCGAGAATGCACCTTGATCATTACCACTGGGGAAAGTCAACCACTCTCGGAGGTTCGCAGAGGTAAACCAGGCATCCCACTGCAACGGACGGCCAGGTCTGGGGCCCTGGGCCTATCTATGTCCTCCTCTCTGGGATACAGGAGTTGTACCACCTGACAGCCCTGACAGGAATCCTGCAAGAGCCAATGGGGAGAACTTGGGAACAGTTCCATTAAGGGTAGTAGGTGGAAACTGAGGCTGGGCAGGATTCTAGCACCCAGTGACAACACGGGCAACACCCCGGTAGCAGTGGGCGTGGGGGCTAGACCTGCGGTCAGCAGATCAAATGTACAGCAGGGTGACTACAGTTAACAACACCGTATTATAGGTCTTTCAGGTCTCTGAAAAAACAAGCCTGTTCTGAGCTATCCCAGGGTCCTTCTAGACTCAGGCTGGGCTTCTGGCTGAGGCACCAAACACGTGTGATATGAAGATCAGGTGTGGAAATAAATATGAGATGTCCTCTAAAAGCCTCTGTTCCCCTTAAAAATCCAGGATGTAGCCTACGTGATTTTCCCTAAACCCCGATGATTCCAGTTTCACCTCTGGGTAACAACTTCAACACATCACTCCTTGCTGCGTGAGTGGGTCTTCTACGTAACTAACTGCACCATTACCAGACCCCGCATGCTGCCACCTCTGGGAGGAACCGATGGACAAGGTCAGGTTCATGCACAATACTGGTCATCACTGCTGGGACCGTCTCTTCTCCAGAAGTCCCTACAAGCCTTCTGAGGACCAGATGCCTCCCTTTCTGAGCCACACGGGGTCCCGGTTTGGAAGGCCACGCCAATGCTACAGTGCGATGTGAGCACTCCCCGCCAAGGGCAAGCAAGGTCGGGGGGCAGGGGCAGCGGGAGGAGCGAACCCAGGTTCTCCAAACTGGAATCCTGTTACGGGAATAGGCTGTAAAGGGGTTAGGGGAACAGTAAATGGAAAGCTGTAATCTTTCTGTTGTCTCTGGCCTCTTGAGAGTCGGTAAAACCCTAAACATGATCTTGCTCTCTAAGGATTTCATTTACCTTCCTGGGGATCGGTGGTCTCGAAAGACTCCAAGGACTGGTGAGAGGACATTAAGGGACAGGTTGACGGAGAAAGATAAGCTGGGTTTAATTCTCTGCTCCGCCACGTATTCTGTGATTGTAGTAATTTATTTATCCCCTCTGGGTCCCCGTTTCCTCAATTATAAATGGAGGCTGAACTCATCAGTGTTTTTCAGGCTTTGTTCTCTTAGGTACCCCAGGTACCACTGGGCAAGAAGGTGGTGGAGGGAGGGGCTGAGAGACGGGTCCCTCTCAGCACCAGGTCTGATTTTGTTTCACATGTTGTGTTTCCAACACAGATTCCGTCTCTAGAAAGGTTTAATTTCTAGAAGTCGGAAAGACACTGAACTAACCTACTTGGTTCCTTCCCACCCTCGGACTGCCTCTGCAACGTATCTCCTCGGCAGACCCACCAACAGAGCATCATTGTTAGGGTTTCTGCCCTCCGACAGGCGTGTGGTTATGAACTCCCACCACTAGATGGCAGAACACCAGCGGCGCAGGAACACAAATGCGGTGACCTGTGAGGCCCGCAGCTGAGACAGTTCTGGCTCTGCTCTGCACAACAAAGGGTGCAAGTATTCACCCAGCCGTGGACCCAGGGGACAGCAGAGCAGCGACAGTGGCAGAGACCTGAAGATGTAACTGGTCTCCTCTGACCCTCGCCAGAGGGCTGGAAG